ATTGACCTGAAAAATCAAGTATTTAATTGATTTCTATGTCATTTGACAAGAAAATCAATGAAACATTTGATTTTTCAATGACAAGATTTACAGAAATTTCAGTAGAACTTGAACGAGATAAAAATTTCGGGAATTTGACACGGAAAATTCAGACGGAAATTTTTAACAGTGCACTTTGAATTTCTAATCTCTAACGTACGTAAATTTATTAAGGGAGACCGGGGCAAAATGAGACCCCTGTAAAATTTGAGATTTTACACAAATGATTGATTTTTCTACAGTTACTCATGAAATACCCCATTGTTAGTAGATTTAAAGTTGGAATGTAACTCAGATTTCAAAGATTACAATCTGGAAAAATTCTAAACGGAAGTTAATAAGAATAGAAGCGTTCTGTTTAACTTAGCGCTCAATTCTTAGTTTACTATTATTGATAATAATTAATTAATAAATGCCAAAATAACTATGACCATGACGAAGTTTGATCCTCGTCAGGTAAACGGGAGAGACTCTTAATTATTTCACTCGATTTATGATCAATCGGCCTTTGTCCTAAAAATTTCATAGACAGCTGACTTGTAATTTTCCGAAGATAAATATTGAATGGGATTGAGGGGGAAAAAATTACAAAATTTTAGATTTCACCGAAAATTCCAAATTTTGAAGCAGCATTACGACAAGAATTTCTCAAGTTATTAGAATTTTCTACGAAAAAATTGATATTTAGTGTTAAATCGCCGAATCTCCAATTAATTGAAATTTCGAAAATCTAGAATATGAAAAAACTGACGAATACTTGAGGGCTTTCATTCAAGGTTCAAATCCCGGTCTGGACTATCCATTTTTTCAGTAGATTTTTCTTCAAACTAATATCAAGAATTATCCTAGTTCCCCTCCTTCCTATTTCAAAATCCTATCCAACAATATCCTGTGACCTCACCAGACGTGTAACGCTGCATAAACTCCCCTCTTTAGTGAAACGCAAAATCCCGAGACTTACCCAGAAAGTTATTAAACATGAGAGATTATCTGAGTACTATTTAGTTAAACTCCCGCTAGCCAACAATAGCAGTGAATTCGTCTCCCGCTATCCGTTTCTGGACGGGATTTAAAATAGGGAGGTCATTGTATGTTTTTTTCTCGATTGTGAAGTAAAAAGAAAGCATAGATCGTCAATACTTGTCTATTCCACTAAATCGTTGAATGTGATTCTGCATTATGAATGGATGAAAATTCCGATCTATTATTTCTGTGGTTTCTGAATAATTCTCTTTCGAAAGGAAAGAGCCCGAACATGGTTCTACTGAAGCAGAATACAAATTGCGAATTCTCTGTGGTTTGAGCCACGAGGAAATTCCTTTTTTTTGCTGACGAATGGATTGTATAGTGTGAGTATATTTCGTGTTTCGTCGAGTCACTGGCAGGCTAATTTTCAGACCCTCCGCACGTCAATCTGAAGATACTAATCACTGGAATTTCGTTGGTCAAAGGGACGAAACGATTAGTGGTAAACTCTCGTCAGAGTCGTCTTTTGAAGTGGCTCCTTTATGGTGTTTTGATGCTTTGGAGATAAGTACAATGCAGAGTGGAATGGTGAACTGATCTTAATACTGTTGAAACCTGCGTAAATTACTATTATTCTTCTTTTTAGGGGAAATAATTGGGATGTTCTGCTCTCACTTTGCTTTCAAGTACATGGGATTCCACCTAATCGTACTTCGGCCATGCGACGAAGACGAGAAAAATGGGACGTGCATTGTAGAATTTGCAAGAGCATTGAATAAGCTTCAAAATGACTATTGCTGTATTGAATTCGGCTACTTTGGTTCCCAGTCAAAGCAGGATCAAGTTACTTAAACGGGTCATGTATAAGGTTGGCCTGTTGTGATTCAAATGAGGACTTCAGTCTTTAATAATATGTGGACCATTTAGTTTGGCTGGCTTTCTTTTCATAGAGATTTGTAGGAATCCATTACCGATTATGGGTGATACTGGATAATATTTAGAATGACTGTTCATGGGTGATTTTTATCTCTAAAATCTACTGATAGATTCCTACAAATTAGAGATGGACTCCTGAAAATGAATGATATTACTCTGAAAATTCATGATGATGTCATTGGAAGTTAGTGATAATTTTGCTGAACATTGTTGACAAAATCACTGAATTTCAGATTTCTGCACTCACTGAATTTCACAATCGCGAATACCTCATGCAGTGGATACTCCCTATGATTTCGCTTCTCTAAGATTTCAGTTGGAGAAGTTGACTTCCCCCACCATTAACAATCTAAGCGCGTGTAAGTAGTGTGTGGGCTCATCTGCGCGACAGGAATGCGCAGTAGGACCACTGGCGATGCAGGAGAATTGAAACAGAGTGTTTCCGTTGAAGATGATTTTTTTTACCAAACGCGGTATCGTAAAATTTCACGTTCGTCCATTCCCATAACCTTCACATCGAGAAATTTTACTGTACAGGAAACAGTAATTTTTGCATCCATAGATTTGTTTTTTTTTAATCGAACAAATAGTAAGATATCCTCCGCAAGAGGTATTTTTTATCGAACTACAACTTCACTCCACGATTACCTTTCGTATAGTAAAATTTGCCATAATTTTGTAGTACTTTTCATTCAACTTTTTTCTCCGTGTACTCCTTAATTTATGCAAACTATAATTAAATATATATTAAATATCACTACAATTAACTATAATTAAATATCAATTATGTCTCACAATGAATTTTTCTCACATTTTCCCCTTCCATCATCTCTACCTATTTTCCTTCATCTGCCAGAATTGTGGGAGAGAAGAATTACCGTTCAATTTTCTATCAACGAACAAAGGAAGAAAAAAATCTCGAACCCCAAAAGTAAACCTTATCTCCCGTTTTCCCCTTCATTACCCAATTGATTCATCACATTCATCCAAGAGATACAGATTGCCGGGCCAAAATCCCTTTGAACTTGTTCTCCGTAACCAATTTTTCCTACAGATAACAAAGTTCAACTTACCCTCCTTTGTATTTATTTACGTTTTTCCATTCTGTGTGGAGTCTTTCATTCCCTCTTGAGTTGAGCGCGTGAATTTATCGCGCCGGCTGGTAAGATCGGATAATGCCCCCTGACTCACACAAGGTGAAGGAACCAGCCGGTGTCATAATACCAACGTTTGAATACAAAATGGTTTTTATACGGATCACATGAGATACCAAAAAAATTACCTCGACGGTGGTCCCCCTCGGTGACTCAAAATATTGGTTTAGGACAGGTTTTTTTCATTTCAATTCGGCTTTCATCCCGCCCCACAATACCATTTGCGACAGTTTTAATCAAACTCTCTGATGTATGTAACGACTCGGTTTTATCGAGCTGCAGAGAATGAGGGAAATCGGGAAAGCTTCATTCGTAATATCCGAATGCAATTGCGTCTCCAATCTCCACTTCCAGAACGGTATTTCTCTTCGAAGTTCATCTCTCGGATTTTTCGGGGGTGATTAAATGTTGATTAGATCCTCGGAGAGTGCATGTCATCGCCAATTAGTGGCACCTAATTGCATTAAGCACTCTCGGAGCGCCTTGAAAATCTTCCACGTGCAATATTAACCGTTCAAAATTTAATTAAAACGTCGAAAATTCGGTGGATGAGAGGAGAGTTCGGGTAAGAAGGGTTTAAGTGGAGAGCAGACAGGAATTTTAATAATATATTGTTCTCGTTATGGTGTGTAATCTCATGCTTCGAAGCATTTTTTAATTACGCGAGTGCTGGAAATGAGAAGATTTTCATTGAAAAAGACAGCATTAACCCTCGTTTGGTACATGAGTTACCAAACTGGAATCGATGAATTTCTGAGACAGGAAGAGGTGCAACAGAATATTTCATTTTCATTTTTATTTCATAAAGATCCAACAGCACAGGCCAATTACAGGATCAAATAATGCTAGAAGATTGACGATTCTTCTACGCGATTGAAGTAAGTTCATTTGCGACAAAATCATACTTGAGTACAATGTTGTCCGGTGGTTTGGCGCAGTGGGTAAGTTCGTTGCCTCACATGCGAAAGGTTCCGAGTTCAAATCCCGGCCGGGTAGAATGGTGCGATCTAACCATTTAAAGTCTTGATCATCATCGCAGTATACTCTAACCGGGTCGAAGACCGGTTCGGGATTTGAACTCGGAACCGTTCGCATGTGAGGCAACGAACTTACCCACTGCGCCAAGCCACCGGACAACATTGTACTCAAGTATGATTTTGTCGCAAATGAACTTACTTCAATCGCGTAGAAGCGATGTAAAATAACGATAAAAAAAAAATACTTGAGTACAAGAATATTTTAAAGCATGAGGCCTTTCTCTTAGAATTAAGCAATTGAAAAAAATTTACTTGTCTGAAGAAAATATGTTTCAGATATTTGAAATTTTTTTTCTCAGTGTAGAGACAGAGACGAGCATAGGTACATTTACCTTACGAAATTTTACGACCAGCAAACGTTGAAAATCATTCGCTAAAGCCATTAGTTCCAAACCTATCGTGAAAATAAGCTGTACTAAATCCCTGAAATCTTCTCGTTTCATTCAATTCGTCACTGCAATTGTTTCTAAAAATGGTTTCATATTTCTCTAAAATGTTCTCTACACATGTTCTCTGCAACCAATCTCTCAAGTAATTCAATCTCAAAGCAAGACCACATGCTCCAAAAAATGACGTCACATAAACTTCTTCTGAGTGCGCGGCCAATTCAATTGAACTCACTTGAGTGCTTCTGGCAACATAACAGAGACCCAAACACTTGTCTCACACATTGTCACACTGTCGCCTCTTTTACTCGCCCCTGAGCCTAAAGAGCAGCATTAATTGGCAAGAACGGGAGGCCTCAATAATATTTCTCTCAAAACGACGAGCACAGAAATTATTTCGTTTACGTTTGAGGGAGTAAAAAGGTGAATGAACCAGACCGAACAAATTTACTTAAGCCATTTGTTACCCTTTGTGTTTTCAGAAATGCGTAAAGGCGCGCGCCCTTTACGACAACATAGCGGAGGCACCCGACGAGCTGGCATTTCGGAAGGGTGACGTTCTAACGGTTTTAGAGCAAAATACCTCGGGTCTGGAGGGATGGTGGCTATGCGCCCTCAGGGGCAGGCAGGTAATCTATCTTCCCCATTTCCTTAATTCGATTAGTTTTTAATCTATAGTTTTTCTTTTCAAGAAAGATTCGCATTAAATTGGCTTTTATTGCTTAAAGTTTTCTATTTAAGCAGCGATTTGTTTAAATGTTTTGTGATTGTTTATGAAAACTTTATTGTATTTTAGTTATTAGGGTGGTCCTTAACCCTCGATCACTCGTTCAATGAGCGCGGCGCCGCCCGTTTTCGTTTTTTTATGTTTTAGTGTTTCTCGACATTTAAAAATTCTGAAAAAATTAGAGTTCACGGAAAAATAATATTCCGTGGCTGCCATACTTGAATTGAGTGTACAATATACTTGATTCTTATACTCGAATGGGGAATTGGTGTTTCAATTCGATTATTTCGTATCAGCCCGGGTTGTGCCAAGCGCTCTCAAGTGTAATATAAGGGTTACACACTAAGTATGAGAATATAAGGGTCAAAAAGTGGAGGTTAAAAAATGAGGGTCGGAATATTAGAGTCAAAAACTGAGGGCCTGAATTTAAAGGTGAAGGAATGAAGGTCAGAATGTTAGGGTTAAAAAAAGAGGGTCAGAATATAAAAGTTAAAAAAGTGGGTGGACGCACTTGAATTAACTTTGCTTGCATATTTTTTCGTCACCCCACACGGAGATAAATTTTTGATAAAAATTATCCTACCGTTCTATAAAAGTGTATCATGAATCATCGTTTCCTCATTTCTATCTCGAAATTTAGTAAAAATTAATATATGAAGATCAAATTTTATTCTACATTAGAGAAATTTTATCCTGATAAAAATAAAAATTACCGTGCCGGTAGAGGAAAAAATTAGTGTACCGGTAGGGAAAATTTTCCAACCGTTCTTGAATTTTCGTTGTTATCTACATAAAAATTATTGGACTGGAAGGGTAAAATTTATTATGCTTGAGGATAAAATCTCTCTAACGGAGAATAAAATTTGATCATCATATATTAATTTTTACTAAATTTCGGAATAGAAATGAGGAAACGATGAGTCATGATACACTTTTATAGAACGGTAGGTTAGTTTTTATCAAAAATTTCTCTCCGTGCATACAAGGAAATTTGTACGAGTAACTACAACTCACTACTTCAACAAGTTCACTTATTAACTGTCGTTCAACTTTTCAGGGAATATGTCCAGGAAATCGACTGCGTCTGCTAGTAGGTCAGTACGACAGCGGTATTGGCGGTAGTCGAGCTGATCTCACCCTCTCCGAGGACGGAGTCCAGCGTCATGGAAAAAGACGCAGTTGGCACGTTCAATCGAACAGGGTGAGTGTCTTTAAATAGATGAGCTAAATAATCGCATTGCACATAAAAAGAAAACTCCCCCATCAAATCCCGGGATGATTGGATCGAGTTCAAAATTATAGTCTCCCATTTTTCTCCGGATTTTTCTTTCCTTTCCCTCTGATTTCGTTCTTTCAAAAAGGAAAAACAGCAACTAGATTTTTCTCATTTCTCTCCGAGGGGGTCAAATAAAAGATTACTGGCAAAGGTGAGGCAGGAAGCAGCTGATGATACGTATTGAAGTACAGCCACGTGCCAGAATGGCCGACCACGCCCTCACGAGTCCCTCAAGAATCCTTTTATTCTCGAAAAAAAATCCCCACCGTTTTCCCCCCAGTCAAAGACTTTCATTTACACGTTCCACGTTCTATCATTGTGTTACCACCACAAAACCGTTATAAATACTCATCCTCACCCATGAATTCACTCCCGACATCTTCCTTATGATTGATATCCCACATGACTTTTATTTTCCTTAAAAAAAAATGGGAGAACAGTGACAGTTGGTCCAAGTTTAATTTGAAGCTCAATTCGGTGTACCCCAGCAGATCAATTTGGATTGAATCGATGGTCGGGTATGGGGGTAACATTCATTGGCTAGTTTGTGTGCGCATATAAGGACTAATTCGTGCGGAGCGAACCCGTACACCCCATCAATTTGAATGGGCACCCCCAGTGCCTAGTCGGACCCATATGCCGGTACGTGTTGTTCTGTTGGAAAATAAATAGAGGGAATAATGTAAGGGAAGGAGTCAGCTGACCCGACTGTTGGTGGAGATTGACTGGGATCTCTCAGCGGAAATTTGAAGGGGGAAGAGTTCTGATGGCCAATCGGGAAACTTATGAATTTTACTTTTTTGTTGGAGGCCTTTACTAGTTATTTCGATGAGAAATTAGTACATTACATGCCCGAGCCTTGGAAAACAGATCACCGTCCTCCATGTGCAAGATTGCCTTCCGAGCCAAAGGCAAGGATGGCAAGTACTTGGGGAAGGGTGATATGTTTTCCATGGCGAGGTGTGTATATTAATTTTCAGGTCCCGTGACACAAAAAATTATTTTCTGTACTGCTTCTCACGATTTCTCGTCTGGGAATTGGTATTACATACTTCCCAAACTCGAAAACTTGAAAATCACTAGAGAAAAATATTGTTCCTGGGCTGTTGCGATGGGATTTTTTTACTCGTGTGGCGTTGGCCTCCGAGCCGTAGGCGAGGAATGGCCAACCACACGAGTAAAAAAACCCATCGCAACAGGCCGGAAAAATACTATTTCGATCGCAAAGAACTCATGATGTTTAGATCATCGAGTTGATTCTCTTACCATTGAACTGTCGAGTGTACCATCAGAAGACAACTTATGTGGACATGTAAAATAAAGGATTAAACTATCAAGTTTTATCGTCAAAATAATTGTGTTAGGTTTTTCTAAACACAGAATAAAAAATACGAATCGGGAATATTTTACTCCCGAATTACGAATATGTGTGTGAATCAGGAATATGTGTATTCCAAAATCGAGAATATGTATTCCAGATTCAGGAGTTCACATATTCTCAATGCTGGAATAAAATATTTCCATTTCGAAATATTTTTTGTTATTAGGCCCGATAAACTGCGATTCTAACTTCGTTTCGCTCGGCTAGCTCGCGGTTTTCCGGTCCGTAACATAAAATAGTTCACATCACACGGCCCACAAAGTATTTCCTCACATTCCTCAAAATGTGAGGGCCAAATGATGAAAGCTTTAATGATGAAATCTTGTTTGAGTACTTGATTCTGAAGACGGGAACTAAAAGTGATTTCGATATGATGAGATGGGTAGAAGAATATCAGAAGGGGTATTGGAATTAATAATTTATCGCTCAATGCGCTTCCCAATGAACTGTCGAATGTCACCACTGGACCAATATTTTATTTGACATAATTCAGTAGCGAAGTGGTAAAACGGTACAAGTCAATTTTGACTATTGACCAGTTTTCAATGAATATCTCGGAATCTAAGGGTGATAGCAAAACTTATATTATAACTTTTTTTGTAGAGCCGATTGAGAGCTACAACAAATGTAATCATGAAAATGCCGCCCTCCCTTTCATTCCCCTTCCTTAGATTCGGAAATATTCCTCAAAAACTCAACTGGGAGATAAGTCGACTTAAACCGTTTTACCAATCCGCTACTGAATTATATAGATTGGTGTTGGGTCAAATGACTTTTTATTGATAAAATCTAAATGATGACACGTTTCATGTTTGTTCATTACATTTCCATCGGTTTTAATCGAAAGAGAAAATTAGTTAGATGCGATCGAATTATTTACTTCAAATAATCACCACTGACTTCCAATTCAGTATATTTCTGGAAGCTGGACACTTACAAATTTCTCCATCGGAGAGATTATTCTTGAGTTCGTTGATTACTGTTCATCGCCTTCATCATGAACACAATTACATTTTCCTAGACAATTCTAGAGCATCTTTCTGCATTCATCAAAACCAGCAATGATCAGTAGCAGGATTCGAACTCATGATCTTCTGTTTGCCAGCTGAACACTCCTTCCCATCATCAAAGGATGAATCCTAATCATGATAGAAGTCCCTATTCACGTCTCTCCGTTCATCATTTCATTGATTTCAATCCAAAGAAAAATTAATTCAACAACACCGAATTGTTTGCTCCCAATGACCGTTCAACCGGTTCGGAGAACTTATATTTCTGGAAGCTGTACAGTTACCTTCTTCCCCAGGATACAAACCCATCATTACAAAACCAACAAAGCGCAAAACACTTACAGAAGCGATGAAGTCAAGACCTTTTTTTCAACAACAGGAATTTTATGGTGTCTCCCATCGAGAACCTGCTGGCTTGTCTGCTTGCCATGTTGGACACTCTGGTGTCTCTTGTTGGCCTTATAAGTCCCTGAGGTCGGTCGCAGACGCCAGTGGGGCGTGCGACAGTGTATCTGCACTCGTGCAAACACACTCCCCAGTATCTTTCAGCAGAAATAAAGGAGACAAAAGTACTTTGTAAAAAAAGGGGGAAACAGAGGAACAGAAAGCAACATGGAGGAGAGAGTCAAGAGGACACTGCAGTCATCCCGATGGAATGTGCGGGCGGCATCAAAGAGTAGAGGACAGAAGATGCGTGCATGGATAAGGCCCATCTGCTCCCCTATGTGGATGATACTTTTATTCGAAACTTCCTCTCTTGTCCAGTGTTTTAATTTGTCCTCTTTGGAGCAAAAAACATACGAAATAATGGAATGCTAGAAATCTGGGGGCAAAACGCTTGCGGTGAGAGTTATATTTGTCATGAGAATTTGGCTCAAAAATGAGTTAGAGGTTTTCGGTTTGCATAAAAATCTTGTACTTGAAAACATTTAAAAAATAGAGAGAAAACATCAATAACATTCAACGTTATTATCAGAGAGACGTTTATCTTTGAAACAATTTGCATCTAATGCAACGGAGAAATGCAAAAAAGGGACATCACATGTCACTGACATGAACTTGGTATTCGGAGATAGCCTCATGGTTTCATGATGAAGAGGCATTGAGTGGATTGTCAAACACATGCAAACAATTTTGCTTTTTGACTTGCGATGAAGTTGTGGGTCTAAGTATTATTATTGTGAATGTATATTCGTGCTAGTGGGGATAGCTGACTTTTTGACTTTTAAAATTAGCTTCCAACCGCTTACATGGATCCTATTTACTTCTCTGGATCATCTTAAATTATACGATTATTTCTTTTATAGTCAAATTCTCTTATGTATGCTACGGGTGCATCCTGAGCAGTTATTACATATAAACAATGGATTCAAATCTAAATGAGAAATAGACTTTTACTGTTCTTTCTTCATTAATATGGTACGAGAAAGAAACGGTTGTACTCTACAAAGATCAAATGAATATCATGACCTAATAACAAAGAACGCTCAGTTCTTTTGCCCTCCGACGTCATTGTTTATGTTTATATCAATGTCTCTCCGACACTCTCCATGTCGATTCGTTTTTTAACGCATAACCTCATTAAAACAATTCTGTGAAATAAAGCTAGGGGAGAGTCGGGCTAAATGGGACATTCCGTGATCGTTTGTAATTGTCAATATTTTCATTTATAAGTGAAGATACAATTGGAAAAGATCTCAACACGTCCCATTTTGCCCGACGCTCCCCTATATGATTCAACAATGAGTTGTCAAAAATATGAATCATCACGAAATATGACACCGATGTCGGCGGCCGAGTCTAGTGTGCGAAAGGTTGCGAGTTCGATCCCAAGTGGAACCAAATTTTTCAGTGGGAAACTCCGGCGAGCGGGAGGTTGCTAATCGAGTAACCGCCAGTACCGGCATGTGTTTCCTGTGGTTTCCTACGCCGCTCTTATGTTCTATAGAGGTGCGAATGCGATACAGTGTAGAATCCACCGCCGCATGCATAGGGTTGGATAGAAATATGACAAAAATTAATCCTAGCCTGGTCACCAAATGTGACTCTGTGACTTGGTCACCTCCGCGGGGACTCCCCGCCGTGCTATTTCGGTTTTGGCGTTGCCGAATTTACTCTACACTTTCCGGGCGCGTTTAGCGAGTCTCATGCAACGTCGCGTCATGGGCATTTTCTTTTAAGGATGTACTACACCCTTTCGGCCAAAATTCACTTTTTTTTCATTTTTCTGGCAAATTATTGATCGGATTGCCGCAAAATAATATACCGTTTGTGCGTTTTATCATCATTGACTGACTCACGAAGTTTCATGATAGTGCAATCATTTTCCTGCATTTTTTCTAAAGTATGGTCAATTTCCGAAAAGTTTTAGAAAAAACGCAGGAAAATGATTGCACGATCATGAAACTCCGTGAGTCATTGAGTAATGATAAAACGCAAAAACGGTATATTTTATCACGTCAATGCGATCAACAATTTACCAGAAAAATTCAAAAAACGTGAATCTTGGCGAAAAGGGTGTAATACATCCTTAACGTGGAAAAAAAATAATTCATCTGTCCGAAATAATTTGTTTTCTTTAGAAATTTTGGAAAATATGTTGTTCCAAAAACTATTATAATTTTTTAGACACTTCAATTGACAAATCAATTTTTTTTTAATTTGTCCGGTCAACCAGTCAATTGTAATTGAAGAAAAACGACGCGCGGCGGGGTTTCCCTCATAGGATAACCAATATAGTAGGGTTAATGGCAGAAAAATTTCTACTGACCAGTTTATATTTAGTGGGTTCCGAATAGCAGGGAATATATGACTGTAATTATGACGTGAATAAAATTGACTTCACATAGCCGTCACAGATTTTAAAACGTGACGTCATCTCACATCCCTGCTGCTACCTTCCACTATTTCATTGCTGATATCTTTAGTTTTAACCTTCGTATTTGTTCAGAAAATGTCTTGGTGAATTCAAAATGATTGTAATGTCCCTCAAAACAGCCTCCCTGCCCAACGATTTAGTCCTCCCGTGGCCCTTCTCATTGCAGAATACAACAAATAATAAAACGATAAAATCTGAATGCAGAACGCCTTCTCAGTACACAATTCTATAAACAGCAAGTGAAAACAAATAAATAATAAAGAAGTATGGAGTACCTGAGGAAGTCTGCGTAGGCAGGGAAACTACAAGAGATATCAATGAACCTCGGGGAAACTTGTTTTTGCGTGGGTTTATCCTCAGTTCACCAGGACCTAGAGTCCTACGTATGTGTAGAGCTCACACTTGAAGGATAAAAATGCTTCTGATTAATTAGGTAATCAAGTTTATAAGCGATGACATCGTGTAGGCAATATTCAATTAGGTATTAGAAGGGGAAAAATCATATTCCTCGGGGCTTAAGTTTAATTACGAAAGTCTGTTGGGCGTTTTGCAATGGTGATACAATTTAATACACTGATAGAATGATTCATTTATTCCAAACGAAATTCGTTAACTATTAACGAATGGTAGAGTTGAATATGACCAAATGAATATTCGTTAATAGTTAACGAATGGTTCACTTGAATGGCGAAAGTCAAGTCAAACAAGGCTCCTCAAATATACATTCGTTAACTATTAACGAATGAACATTTGGTGGGACCGAATAGACCCTAACCTCCAACCAAAATCCATTCGTTAACAATAACTAATCCGTTCTATCAGTGTGGGTGAATGATGAAGTGGAGAATGAATAAATTTTACAGATTATTTTGCAAATATCTTCGGAAGGAGTTGATTGAGAAAATTTTATGAAGAGATATTTTTTGTCAAAAATTGAAGTTCATGTTTTTCATTGATTCTAAACCCAGAAAAATGAGGCGTTTTGAAACTATTTATTTAAACTTTTTCTGGTCATTTCAACAATATTTTTTTTTTTAAATCAATGAGCTCTAATTTTTTCTAATGAGAATGTTTCCATTGTATGAAATAAATCATTACTACATTCTAAAAAATCCTCTATCAGCATCTAATACAATATTATTGAATGTGAATATATTTTTTCTTTTCGCTGTCTGAACAATTTTTTCATTTCATGCAGAAAAATGGTTTTTAATCAAATAAAAAACTTTATTTGACATTTTTCACTCATTTCAAGAAAAAGGATTTAATTATATTAACCAAATAATTTATTTATTTGAAATGAATGATTTTCTTAATATAAGAAAATTTTATTTGGTACTATTTAAATAAACTCTATTTGATTCAAATAAATCATTTTTCCAGGTGTCTAACAACTACAATCTTTATTCGGATTAAGCAAGCACTCGCTCACATTTAGCGGATTTTTCATTTGATATGAATTAAAAGATAACTAAACATCATGTTTAAATTCTAATAGACCTTCGAATATAGTATCGGAGATAATTGCGAAAACCCCTGTACTTCCATGAATTATTCTGAACCTCCTCTCTAAGATGTTCCAAAAATGATAAACCTATTTTATTCATAAAATAATTTTAAAAAGACCAGATTTACATGGATCAATCGAGGCAATCTCCCACAGCCGCCGAAAAATTCTCCATCAAAACCGTCTGTCGACAAATTCCCCCAGGATTTCCCTTCGAGAATGTTCCCACCAAACCTCCCGCAATAACATAATTCCTCATCTAATTCCTCCCTCAGAAACAACAATGCCCATTTGGCCCCCTTGTTATGCACCAGTTGCACGTTTCACCAACGCCATAACTATAGCCCACCTGAGCCCCCCTAGCATCTTCAACCCCACTAAAGATCGCCCAGCAAGACATACCTGGAGGGATCTTTGTGCGTTCCTATGGCAACGTCCTCTCTCCCGCTAAAATTTTTCCTCTTTTTCTCTCATTTCCACAATCCCTTTCTCACTGGCATACACTTTCCGTTTTCATCTATTCTCCCTCCCTCTTTCTGTACACATTTTCCACGTTACAGGTCGTAGGGCTTTCGGTGAAGGCAGTGGCGAGAGAGGGACGAGAGGGAGAGAGGGAGAGTGCGCCGCGACGCTCGGTATCGACCGACCTCAACCCCCAACTCCGTACTGACTCCACTACGTCCTTTCCTCTCATTCCATCTCACCCCTTTCCGCCCCTTTTCAACCCTCTAGCATCATCCCCCTTCACCACTACAATCAAACATCCTAGATGCCTCTCTGCATTTCCACTACGAGAGAAATAGTAAAATAACGTGGCTGCTTAATTCAGGGTCGTTCTCAGTCTACTCCATCATTTTTTTCTTTCATTTTTCGTTTCAAGAGGAAGGCTCACTGTGTACACGTCGCGTACACTCATTTATAGAAGAAAAGGTCTCTCTCATTTCTCTATTGAAAAAAAGAGAATTGATGAGGGTGAGCTGTGTTGGAATAGTAGAGAGAATAATGGAGGAATCGAGTGGCTATTGGAATGGTAAATTTATTAATTTTTCAATCAAGTGAATTCTTGAGTGATGGGATAAAGGTGACAAGTTTATCTTTTAGTCTTTTTAGATCTTGATATTTATTTCTGGAACATTTAATGAACATTTGAAGATGTTTGAAATAATAAAGCGTATGAAATTTCGGCAGACCACACACACACACTCATTCCCGGAGGTCTAAACCTTTCATTCTGTACTCTTCATCTCCCCTCGATAGGGGGAAAAGTAAACACGTCTTTTCTCCTCAATTGTACATGCGAGCCCTTCACTCAGGGCGGAAACGTCATAATTAACCCACCCGAGGGTTTAATTGGTGAATGAACGGTGGAGAAGAATTAAGAGTCCTCATCCTTCATTTTTCACGGCATGCCTGGCAATAGCAATGGCAATCATATCGCCCCGGGATATCGAACGTGACTGGCACGGTAGTTGATGGATATTGTGAGGCGTGGCCGGCGTTGGTGGTGTCCTGGATCTTATCCAAATTTATACTCCTCCGGGGGACGTAAGGACTGGGGCTTTAATTTCCGCTTGTTCTTTTTTTTTTTAATTTTTTGTAAAACGTGTTTTTATCTTTTTGATCCACAGGTGGTGACACCGCAAAAATGTGGGGATGTCTATCTGTACGATCTGCCAGCAAATCGGAGCAGCCCAGCCCCATCCTCACATCGAGACTCGCCGCTGAACTCGATGGATCAAATTCATGGAGGTAATTTTTTTTTTTCGTTGCAATTGTGGGAACATTCAATTAAGAGTTTTCCATCAGCTCATGGGGATTGAATGTTTTTTTCTGGTCGTTTGCGATGTGGGGATGTTGTACTAATGAATTTTTTTAGTGATTTGTGGTCTAACGAAACGAGTCTAGATTCCTGGAGTATTTTTTTTTCTATTCACATTGCCTTAAATAAGAGAGTTTTATTTCGTTAAAGGGGGGGTTTTATTTTAATGAGAGCGAGAGAGAGACAAATTCATTCGTCATAGACAAAAGACTAACTCCTCGTAATCAATATATCATTCAATTGTCACTTGATTCGCACTTTAGGGGGAGGGAAGGGATTATTCATTCATTCCGAGCATTCGATAACATTATTTTTTTCCTACTACCGTTGTGGTTTGATAGACTCCCCTTTTCGTCTGCCTTTATGTCTTTCTTCCAGTTTTCTCTTCATAATTATCTGCGTTACCATGCGCCGTCTTACTATTATCAATTGCGCCCCTTTCGGGCTACTACTGCACGGGAAACCATGGAAAGCCCCGGTCGTATAGCCGATCGATATTGCAGGGTCCTACTGTGTCCTTGTCTCCTAAATTTTACTGTACTCCAGAGACGCGAAAAATTTATAAAATTCAAAATTCATTTATTCATGATCTATTGCGAATAAAGTAAACGGCTGCCTAACTTTATTCTTTGGAGTGTAATGAACATAAAAAAAGTAAAAATCGTATGAAAACTACGGCGCAAGGAGCACTTTAAAGGTAAAAACAGGAAAAACTGAAGTTTGTCGTGATTATACGGGGTAAAATCGATTGGGTTCGCGATTCTCCCTAGTTATTCCCATATTCCGTCATATATTACAAACTTTTCAATGTGTCCCAAGACCCAGTGAAGACTGAAATTTCATCGACGTATCCCCTTAATATAATTAAATCTTTTTTCATGAAGCAAATAAATAAATTTATTAATTTGTACCAAAAAAATTCTTGAACTAATTAAAAAATGTCAAATAAAGAGTTTTGATTCAAAAGAACCATTTTTTTAGGTGCACTGTCACCTTCCCGATGTATTCTTTTGCAAAAAACTTCTTCATAAGATCTTTCTCATAAAACTTCATAAAAGTTCCCTGATAGATCAAACCCAGAGTTAACTCTGTATCAACTCTGGGTTTATCAAAAAAACCCAGCGAAGAAAGAGAGAAACTCTGAGAAATTTTCATAAACCCAGAGTTACCTCTGAGTTTGATTTATCAAGCTTCAAAAGAGGAAGAAAATATTCTGTCGTATCGCCACAGAAATTGATCTCCTTCGCAAAATTGACGGAAAATTTTTTTTTTTAAAACAGGTCGATTCTCCGGTGGTCACCAGAGCTCGATAGACTCCGGTGGTGACGTGAGCGATTGCTACGACGTGCCGCCCCGTGCAACCCCGGTAATTCCATCTCCAGCAAGCAGTCCAAGCCCAGCCCCCTCGTGCTATGACATCCCCAGGCCGCCCACCTCCTGCACACCGAATTCCAATTGCTCCGGTGGTTCAGGGGTCACTCCCCTCGACTGTTACGATGTTCCTCGTCCCCTGCAGCCACTGACCCCAAGCAGTTCAGCCTCGAGTCTGACGAATGATGGATCTCTGAGTGGATCCAACAGATCGAGCATTACAGCGCCCGATTACGATATTCCTAGGCCTCGTCTCCCCTCATCCTCGAGGTACAACAGCCTCCAGAAGATCTCCACAACTCCACCGCCGAGTCAGATCCCGCAGAATCAACAGATTTATGACGTTCCCGTGAGCAAGGAGGGCCCACAGATCAGCAAAGAACTTCCCCTGGAGCTCGAGTCAGCCCTCGAGGGCCTCCAGAAGCTCCAGAGTGAGGCGTCAGCTGCTGTGGGACGTCTCCTGGGCTTCGTCAGCCCCGGATGGAGGACCCCACAGCGTCTCGATGCCACACTGATGGATTTAAGACTGGCAGCTCTGAGATTACGAACTTCTCTGCATGATTTAGCTGAATTCGCTGAGGGCACACTTGGTAATGCAAGTAAGGCACCTGACAAGGGGCTTGCCAAGAAATTTAGGCCGCTGGTTAAGGCCCTCAGGGACTCAGATAAACTGGTCCAGGAGGCTGCGACCGAGTTGGATCAGATGGAGTGGGACGCCGGGAGGCTTGCGAGGGGGGGTGGCGAGACTCCAACGCCCACTAATGGCACTCCACCGAGCATTGGGCAAGCACTACAACCTGATCCACTGGATCAACTCATCGCGTGCGCTAGGGCACTTACTGAGGATGTTCGACAAATTGCCAGTTTTATTCAGGTATTTTTTTTTATTGGATTGTTGGCGCGGGGGGGGGGGGGAGATGGGGTGTTGAGTTACAATGGGACTGTGAATTCGTAGAAATGTTTTGGTTTGCTTCTGGATTTAAAGTAGCATAAATATAAATTAAATTTTTAAGATTGAAATGGGAAATGAATTCTAAACGGAAGTTGATATGAATTAAAACATCCTGGTTGCATGTGTAAAAAAATTTAATGGAAAATCTTAGTGAATTCGCGAGAAAATTCTATTGAAATTATCCAGAAATTCTGTGAGCATTCTATCAAAATTCTAGGGAATTCTCGTTAAAATTCTTTTTTTTGTGCAGATTTTATTAGATATTTGATAGGAGAAAGTCAATAGATTGGATTTTTCTTTTTGAATTTTTCTCGAGATTTTTCCTGTTAAAATTATTGAGCACGGATTTTCTAAGCTTTTCCGCTATATTTTATTTTATTTCGCATTACGGGATCTGAGTGCATGCACATAAAACATTTTTTATTGACGAATAATTTTTTTTCGGGTATTTTAAATTTATTTATTCTGGGAACACTCAACGACTCGCGTGGAGTTTAGATATACTACTTTAAATTTAGAGTGAGTTGACGATCAATATCGTTGGAGTTAAAGGAGATTGAATGATAATTCGGCACGAGAAATGCAAGAGCTCCACAAATGGTGATTCAAGTCCGTCTGTGGTACCAAATTTCAATGTTTGGTTTTATTCTATTTAACAGAAAATTAGATTTTTTATCGCATCTGATGTTTTACATCAAGATCTTGTCTATGGGAATTGGATCCTCACATTTGAAGTACACGAAATGAATATTTAATTTTATTAAATTGAAATCTATCGACTCAATTGCACATTGTATAATCTGAATTGCACATTATATAATTCGGTTTTAAACGTTCTTTCTTAAGTACAATTTCGACAAGATTTAATTTCAGCATGTAAAATTCAAGGAAAATAAATCCACTGATTCGAGCCCGGGTTTTACGGATTCTGTGTTTTTCTGCACTCCACATACTTGAATTATACATGTTAAATTGCGCCCAACAAATTAAACATTCACAAGTTTGACTTGTATAATGTAGTATTCAAATTGCACAGTTGGGTTGATAAATGTTAATTTAGTAGTAATTCAATATGGATATTGTTCAGTTAGAACGTGAGGATTACAATTTCTGCAGGCAAGGTCTTAATGTGAAGCATCCAATGTGTCAAAAAATAAAGGAAAATGCTGTGTTGGTGTTGAAGTGTGCCAGAAAAATTTTCATTTCACAAACTGAAGTGTGTTGATTAAATTTATATTACGTATATCATTTTAGAAGTGTTATTCGACCGTTTAGGATTTATAATCAAGACTTTGTTCGGCCTTACGGTCCTATGACGTTACTGAATTTACAACTCAAATTTCGGCAATACATTAGTCCTCAAGATGACCCGCACCTGGGTCGAAACATTGGCTTTTTTGACACACGAAAGAAATTCTTTAGAAAAATTCTAGTGCTGGTACTAGAAAAAATCCCAATCCACCGGTCATGAAAAATTCTAGTGCTATTAAGCTAAAATTTCTAGGGATTCCTGATAAACTTTCCGAGGATTTGTGTAAAAAATTCATGTAAGAACGGAAAAAATTCACGTGCTACTCAATAAAATTTCCAGTTCCGGCACTGGAATTGTTCTCTAGTCGTAACTTTGCGCCCTTTCACTCGTGATAACACTAAAATTTTTCTATAGAATTTCTCTCCGAGCAGCAAAATTTGACTTATAAATTCAGTAATTTCACGAGATCCAAAGACTGAAGAAATTCTTGATCACTATATATAACGTTTTTCATATGTCAGTCTAATTTTGACGGAGCAGGTCTTTTTGGCGCGGTTTTTTTGGCGCCACACACCCAAATGATGTTAAAAGACACTCAAATGTAGTATTTTCTCGGTGCGCCAAAAAGTCGCAAAGCAAATTCTCAGTTTTTCTATGTTTTGTGCTATTTATCTTAAACTCCAAGATTCTATGCAACTGATCTCAATGTAAGATTTCACGTTTTTCGTTGAATTTGAAGGATGAAGGATTGATTTCAATTTGTAAAATGGAATTTGAATATGCTTTTGATATGTGTCCACAGGGAAACTCAACACTGTTATTCAAAAGATCGTCAATCATCTCCAGCAGTGCCAGCACAAATGCAGAGGACTATGACTACGTGAATTTAGATTCACGGGAGACTGTGGCGAAGCAGAGGGAGGACATAAGGGCGGACCTGCCTTCCGACGAGTTGAGGAAGACTTATGATCTGCTCGTGGCGGAAGCTGATAACGCCGCTATTCAGACAACTACTACCCCAACTCCAATGGATCCTAATGATAAGCAATTGTTGGCATTCTATGTGGCACAAGTGATAACACATGGGGCACATTTGACACACGCTATTGAGGCTTTTCTCCAGACAGTGCAGCATAATCAACCGCCTAAGGTAAAAATTCTATTCTTCCATTTCTTTTGAAAAAAAAGGTTTTTTTAAATAACTTTTTCACAGATCTTTGCTTGGGAAAATGATGAGTGACATAATAAATGGGCAATGCTCAAAATAATTAATTAATGATCCTCGTTTATACGCAAACATTACTCGAGAGGAAATTAATAGATTACTTTGCAAATATATTAATTTCAAAGATATTTATAAAATCATCTGCACTAAATTTGATGATGAGAGATGTTTTCTGATATGATCCTCTGAATATCCTTATTTCCTACACTTTTGAAAAATGGATCCTAAAATCTCACGTAAAAAATGGTGAAATGCTTAACAACTAATTCACATGGAATTTGCATGCGTCTTGTTACTAACAAAGCAGTTAATTTCTGGAATATTCACTGGAATTTCAGATGATAATCAAGATTATTGGACATTGTGGAGATTCAGGCAACTATTATTCTGAGCTTCCGATCTATTGGGAATTCAATGGAATGTTCAATTTTCAGAATGAGTTTGAGAATGAAAGCTGTTTGAGAATACACTTTTCTTTGATTTTCGAGATGAATAAAAAAACATTATTATGTCTTTATTGAACAATTCCATGATTTGATCTTAAATTGAATTCAAATTTGCAACATATACAACTCAAATGCAGCTATTACTAAATTTAAAAAAATGTTTACCAGTATACAGTAAAATTTGATATAAAAAAAATGATTAATTTTTGTTGTTTCTTGCTATGTTTTCCTAGCAGATGGAGGAACTAGCTCAAAATAACTAATTAATCATTTTCTTTTCTAAAAAAAACTTTGAAGTTGAAAAAATTTAACAGATTATTTCCCAAATGTAGTTGTTTCAAAGTTATTCACCAAATCAATTCAATTATTTGTAAAATATGTCTGCTGACATCATTCTCGGAATATCCCTGTCTCTTTCACTGTTGTAACATTGATTCTGACGTTTCAATTTTAAAAAATTTTGAAATTTCGAACAACGCCCAATGCACATGAAATTTGTATTGATTTTGATACTGGCAAATCAGTTAATTTCTGGAAATTCAATAGAATGTGATGTCCAATTTTCACAATGAGTTGAAGAATTAAAGAACATTCGATTTCGTCGAATGCTCAAAATGAATAAAAAATTTAATGACCGATTTAATCTCAAGTTGAATTTAAATTCGTTTGTACAGTGTACGGTAGAATTTGATAACAAGAATATTTATCAGGCAATTTTTTGTTTCCTTCTAGGTTTTCCTGGCACATGGAAAATTTGTAGTCCTGAGTGCGCACCGTCTGGTGCACATTGGCGACACGGTTCACCGAAATGTCACGAGCAATGAAATACGAACGAGAGTCCTTCAATGTGCAAATGCCCTGAGTGAAGCACTGGCGCAGACAGTATCAAAGACAAAACAAGCAGCCCAGTTCTTCCCAAGTGTCGTAGCTGTGCAAGAGATGGTCGACAGTGTTGTTGACGTTTCCTTGCTGTCTAAGGAACTCAAAGTTGCCATGATCCATGCTGCCCAGCAGCCTTAAATCCCAAGCATATGCCACTGTGGATGAAATGAAATTTTACCTCAAAAGAATTGCAGAATGAACTTTTAACAGTTCGAGAATAATTATTAGACATTATACAGCGTTAAAGTACTGCCAAAGCGTAATTTGCGGATAGATAAAATGATAAAATGAATACGATGGAGTCAAATGTATGGAGGAAAGTGGTAAAAGAAGATGGCTCCACCATTTATTGACTAGACGACATTTCAACTAAGGAGTGAATTCATGAATGATAAAGTCTTAGTACGCAGATAGATCTTGATGCTTTTGATCCAAAAGTTATAATTGATATCTGGTCTATTATGGGTAGATGACATTTGAGGTTGACCTGGCGTGAGCTGGATTGATTTTTCCCTTCTTTCTGAAAACGAAACATGTAGAAATGGAGAAAAATTTAACGAAATAGTCGAGAATGCAATGAAGTAATATTCATCTGGATATTTTCAATTTGGATAATGAGAAAGGGATGAAAAAAATCGAAAAATAGGCCTGGGGTGTGCTACACACCCCACGTGAGCGAGGAAGGGTTAAATTGGCTAGGCTGGCTGGAGCTAAAGCTCGAAGCTTTCCATTCGGAAGTTATTCATTAATCGAGTACATTAATTTATGAATTAGTGTATTTTCAGATGAAAACAGTTGAAATGTCGTCTCGGTGATAATTTGAGCTATTTGAGCGAACTGATCCAAAAATTTTCAATTATCTTAGAAATGATTAGGTTTAGAGGAAGATTTCAAGAGAAATTTTTGTGCTGAGATCTTTTGACATTTTTCATCAGTTTCCAATTCAAGATATACGTGGCAAATAAGTTAGGAAGCTGTATAAGACAAATTGATTGCAGATTATTCATTAAGATACCTTTTTTTGTAGAGTTTCCATAAAAAAAAGTTGTATTAATTTTGTTTCTCAAACCTTTTCTTTCTGAAGATGATAATAAGCAATTTCCTCATATCGTTTTATGAGTGTATCTAAAAACTCATCAATTTTAGAGAGAAGTATTAAGAGATTTTGCAGCCAATTTGATTAAATTCGAATTCTCTGACTGAATCTTCTAATTTAACAAAGAAATGATAATATAATACATGTAAGACAAATGTTTTTATTACGCTCGAAACTTCTAGGTTTCAGAGGATTCATTCTAAAATTCTTCAATGAAGCTTCAAATCGTATACTAGAGATCTTTCCACATTTTCCTCAATCTTTCACATTTAATAATAAAACATATCTTGCAGATATTTGTGCATAAACCTTGAAGTTTCCCGCAAAAATGGTCTCATAATTTTTCTCTGAATCTTTTATATGATTCCAAGATATGTTTGAGATGAGGTTGAACTGATCTTTTTTTACCACTTTATTACTGGAATACGTTCCGTGGAAGAACGTTCGTATGATACTGGCCTTTATTTGGTAGCTGAAAACCACGTAGACCCTTTTTGGAAGTCATTGTAATTTTCCACGTGTTTTAGAGTCGAAAGAAATTCAACAAAGAGTGAAAGAACAGAGAAGAGATAGTGATGAATTAGGTAGACCCATGGATATAATAGTAATTGTTTTCACGTTTCGAAGGAACCAAAAAAAGAGATTTCACCATCGACTTTTTTGAGTGAAAGAGAATCAATTTTTTATACAAAAACTTTTGTCGGGCAGCTGTAAGTCCACCATTGGATTTTTGAATACTTATCGATGTTTTATTGAAATTGAATTGAAGTCACAACGACACTAAACTGCTGATTGATGCAGAGAACTGATTTTATAAAGAGAAACGTTGAAGACCAGGGAATATACACGTTTGCAGTTTCGTAAATTGTTTATAATTTATTTGCGATAAGATTTTGTAAAAAAATGTATTAGTTTTTTAAGACGAGTCGTGTATTGTGATGTTTTTAGGTAATAGGCCAATTTGCGTAGCACTGCGGCTCATATCGAGGCAAAAAATTGAAGAAAATATTGAAAAAAGAGAATTGTAAAACACTTAATTGATTTTAGATGTAAAAGTATTATACAATGTACATAAATATGAATATTTATATATAATTCCTGTCCTATGAGTGTTATCCATGAGTAGAGAATGAAAAATTGAGAGTAATACTGTATCCGAAAATCGTGCAATCAGATAGTAATCGACAGGATTGAAGAGGCAGCAATTATCTACTTATCAGCGTCAAAAGAGAAATTGCAGGAATTTTGAATTTCTTGTGGTTTTTATTTTTATGGCGTGTCACCCCCTGTATTTATAAATCCCCCGAGAATTCAATAAAGAATTAAAGCCAAATAAAGATGAATTTTCTATCTCATTTAGATCCATCATTTTCAATTCAGGTCATAAACCAAATTATTTCAGCAATATCTTCAGGCGATTGAAGACATTTCGATAAACTCGGAAGAGGTGTTTGGGTATTTTCTTCCATTTAATATAAATAAATCTTCCATTTCATGTTTTCTTATAATTTTCACGTGTTTTGCCTTTCCTTTCCATTACAATGATTGAGTCTAAAAAGAAGTTGATGATTTAAAAAATTATACAAACATCCCTAAACGAACGTACCCAAATGTTAATATTCCCATTGGAAAACTTTTTTTTTTAAATAATAAATAGTGAAAATTCCAAAAAGAGAAAGCAATTGAATCCCACAAGATCTTTATTATCACCTCACCCTTCCAAAAATCTTAATTTACCATAAAAATTCATTAATCCATGTACACAATCACCCCTTCCACTCCATCAAATTCATTAAAACCTCCTAAGAGTGATCGCAGCACCGGCCAGTATGCGTGTGCTGCTGAGTGGCCCCAGTATTTTTCACCGCGCAGTCCTTGATTCCCTTGCAAGCGTCGTCCCTGATCCTGTCCTGCTTCTCGCTGTGGAAGCTGCTGAGGTCCCTCTTCATGGCATAAGCATCCTCGCCATCAGCGTAGTACTTGGGTTCAACCTCTGACACTTCGAAGCCCAAACTACTCGTGTACAGGTTCAATGCAGCTCTATTACTGCGTCGAACATGAAGAGAGACGTAATTAGCATCGAAGCACTCAACCATAGCCCTCGAGGCCTGGTTCATGAGCTTCTGAGCAATTCCCAAACGTCGGTGCGACCTCTTGACAGCTAAACTCGTGATGTGACCGTGAGGATTGTCCTCGCAGTCCTCCTCCATTTTGGCTAGAACGTAGCCAACGATCCGACCTTTCTCGTCCTCAGCGACGTAACTCAACTGTGGCCACGACAACGCATGGTAGAGGTAGTACTTCATCTGGTAGTTCTCGGGCAGACACTGGAGATTGCAGTGCTGAATGTTCAGAAGATCGTTGGTGTTGGCACAGCGAATGTTTATCGCCATTTTAGGAGAGTATTTTAGTGATCAGTGGGTAATGGGTTGTGGCGATTCGTTGGATGGATTTCTGTTCGATGTTTGTTCAGTCCTTGCGGAGTTTTTTGATGCGAGAACGACCGTTCTTGAGATCATGCACTGATGAGGATTCACTCATTCCACCGAGGAGCTCACGGACGAAACGGAAACGGGATAAGAAGAATTTCCAAACCAAATACCATCCTGAAAGATGAAGAATAATCATGAGAGTTTGGGAGGGAGATACATTGGGTTTATTCAGGTTCAATCAATGAGGGTAATTGAGAGGTGATTTTTTCAATATTTTTGAAACTAGGTATTACAAAGTTATTACCTGAATCCACTAGTTTCGATAGTGTACATTGAGAGTAAGTTTTTGATGAATTTTCTTGAATCTGTGTTGTGGAGGGAAGTAAAATCTACGAAAGTTACATTGAGGAAAACTTTCTTTTAGGAATAAATTGAATAGAAAAATCTAGCATTCCTCGATTGGCAAAATCTATTAATTTGTATTTGACTATGACATCTGTTGACAATTGTGTAGTTTTGGTGTGCTTTATTTTCATAGATATCTGATCAAATCTGAAAGATGAAGAATATTGAGAATCAGGAAGGGAACTCTTTATTACTACTCAATATTGGTATTCCATCAATGAGGGTGATTGAGAGGAGTCGGTAGGAGGAGATCGTCCAGATGATTTTTTTCAATATTTTTGAAACTAGTGGGTATAGAGGGAAATGTTAAGACAGCTTTCGCGTGATCAATCAAATTTTCTAGAAAAAACATATTTCAATGTTATCACTTGAATCCACTAGTTTCGATAGTGTACATTTGAGGGTAAGTTGTTGATGAATTTTCTTGAATCTGTGTTGTGGAGGGAAGTAAAATCTACGTAAGTTACATTGAGGAAAACTTTCTTTTATGAATAAATTGAATAGAAAAATCTAGCATTCCTCGATCGACAAAATCTATTTATGTGTTTTTGACTATGATGTGTTTATGACATCTGTTGACAATTATGTAGCTCTGGTGTGCTCTATTTTTATAGATATCTGATCAAATCTGAAAGATGAAGAATATTGTGAATCAAGAAAGGAACTCTATTATTATTCAATCAATGATTGTGATTGGGAGGAGTAGTTGAGAGTAAATCATCCAGATTTTTGTTTCAATATTTTTGGAGCAAGTTTAGAGAAAAATATAACAAGAATTTTTGGATGAATCAAATTTTCCAGAAAAAAGACACTTCAAAGTTTTTCTGTGACTTCAAGAGTTTTTAACGGGGATTTTTCCATAAGCATTTGATGAAATCACCATCACCAATTTCACGATATTTTCAAAACAACACAAGAAATTGATAAATTTTTTTGGATTTGCAATACAATTCGCATAGACCTCCTATACAAATCGTATAGAATCTCGAAAGAAATTGGAGTTTTTTGAAAGAAAAAGTGTTTCTCTGTCAAATTTTTTCATACGCGTTGCTATTTCGAAATTGACATCTTGTTTTCACGTATGGAAGATTTCCGTAGGAATTATTCTATGAGAATTCATATATTTCCTACAGAAACGATTGAATGAGAAGAGTTCGTCATATGAAAGTATTTTATAAAAAATTTGGTTCTGTATGAGAAAAATTAGACTTTTTTTCCGCAGAATTTTTCTCATAATCCATGTGAATTTCTTTGAACTTTTCTATTGAGAGGATTTCTAGAACGAATGTCGGAATGCTCCATAAAACTTGCTCACTGAAATACTGGCCTGGAAGATGGATAAATAAAGAATATTTGAGGGAGCAGACACAATGCGGGTGGGGCATCGACTGGAGTAAGAAGAGATGGAAAACCTGGAGATAATTACATTATTCAATCAATAACTGTCGCAGAGGGAATGGCAGAAATTAGCAGATAAATTTCACAATATAAAACAGATTCTTTTGAAAATACCTCTGAATCCAGCGAGTTTAGAGGCAACTCAATACAATCTAAATGTATTTTTTCATGGTTCATGGAATCCCTTACATAAAAATTTTCGTAATAAAATGCAGACAAACTAGGTTCAGTGAATATTCTCAAGATACGGAAATTCATTTGAGCTGATTCATATTTCCTCTCGCCACTCAATGATTGAATTATTTTGGTATTGAGTGATTTTTTGAGAAATTCTCAAGAGAAATTTGTAAACGGGAATTTTCAAAGCTTCGCATAAGATTTTTTCACGATTTCTCCTAAAACCACTCATTTCCGTGATAATCATAATTGATAAAAATTAAGTATTGATTCGTCTACGTAACTATAAGAAAATGCATGAAATAACGAATTAGAATATTTATACCAAAGAAACAATTTCACATAAAAAATCAGAATAGGAAAAAATGAAACTGAAAATGCAATTTTTCATTATTTAAATGAAAGGTTGAGGTTAGGTTCGCGAAGAGAAAAGAAGAAGTCGTGAATTATCGAAGGCAGAAATGAATTGGAGCAGAGTGAATCTCATTATTGCGACTAATCAACGGGATACTGAGTGGACTTTCTTACCCAATAACACGAGGACGAAGACAATGATAAGGCTCGAGATAACGGAGAACGCAGCGAGTGCAATTTCCTGCATATTTAATAAATTTTGAACGTTCAAAGACCCCGTTTCTCTTTTTATCCCCGACAATCACACGATTTTAATGTCATAACCTCTGTCCTGGAGTTACGTCAAATACCGAGTCGTAAATGATTCGAAATAACTACAAATCTATTTTTTTTTTCTAAAGCATGAAAGTGACTACATCCACTGTACCTCGATGTCACCGCGCCATTTTGGAATTGAAATATGGACGAGTGTGAGTTTGGGGACGAGAGGTTATGTTCATGATGTGTTGAGGGGGATTTTACAGAGTTTTTATGAGTGGTTGCTAACGTGTTATGGGTTTATTAGGGGGCACTTACCGTTATTATGCCTTTGGAGTTGAATTATTGATTTTCCAGCGCCGAAAGACTTGATAATAATTCACGGTTTGACTGGAGAACAAGAGATGTCAATAGGAAAAACACTTGACTAGGGTTGTTTATGGTTGGGGAGGGGGAGACCCGGATCTTCATAAATATCTGAACACAGATAATCAGAAAACTCGAAAGAAACTAGCAACTGATTCCGAATGACACGGAATGCACCAAACAGAAATAAAAGCAAAGTACTAAACTCGTTTACTAAAGGTCTGAAACAAAATTCATAGGTTGCAACAAAGAGGATAGGCTAAAGTAGAGGCTCAGATCTTGGGGTTCAGGCGACCCAACGAAGCCAAAAATAGTATCACCCCAATGGAGGGATGGCGCCACGGTCGAATCTGATGGCGGCGCGAGCTGCCTGTGCCGGTTAACGCGGCAGTAGACCTTCCAATAGAATCTTTCCCTTCGTTTTCAGGAGTGGGAGACACGGATACAGGTGGAAATCACGTGGAGTGAGGATACCCTGGGAAGCAGGGTTGGGCAAGTAAATTACCTTAGGTAAATTACATGGTTTTTGACCGGTCATAAAGTAGGTAAATTACCCGGGCGAGTTGTCGGTTTTTTGACCTGTCAAAAACCTATATGGCGCCATCTATTAGCACCTTGGGGAACCGGAAGATTTTTACCGAGAATACCACCTGTCAGAGTTACAAGGGTCAAAATTCGAAAAAATCATACCCACTGAGGTTATGCCTCGCGAGGGTCAATCGTCGCAAAGGTCATACCTCGCAAGGGTCAAACGTGACAATCATAACTTGCGAGGGTCAAACGTCACAATCATAACTTGCGAGCGTCAAATGATCATAAGCTGTTGCAACAAAGACCAAACGGAATAGTTTCAGATTATTTTTTCTTAATTCATGATCATTCCACCCTTGTCATTGTTCTGCCTACAGGAGAGATAAGTTGAAAAATCACATGAGTTAAAATTAAGATGCAGGCAAGCAGGAAAATCACAAACGATCAAGAAACAATCACAAAGTAGGTAAATCATAAGGGTCAATCAGGATAACTAGGCCGTGACCTAGTGACCTGTTTGACCCTTGTGAACCTACTTGCTTTTTTGTTTAAACTTTATGACCGTTGGAACCTTGTAATTGTACCGCCTGGCGTCCCCCGTTGATCCTCTTATTAGTTTCACCCTCCAGATTAAAGGATTGCTTCCGTTGTTTGACCCTTGCGACGTTTGACCCTAAGAAGGCATAACCCTTGCGATGTTTAACCTTCCCGAGGATAACCCTCGTGATCGTTTGATCTTGACGATTTCCGGCCGATGTCCCTCTCACTTTTGACCCTTGTGACTTTTCAGCTTAGCTTCCTTGTAAAGAGCTTTCTGACACTTTTTGACATTTTTGACGCCCCAGAGGTAAATTATCGGTATTTGACAATGTCACGTCATAAACTTTCATCTGCGAGATATGCCCAACCCTGCTGGGAAGGGAAAACTTCTGCTAGAACTATATTAGCAGTCCCGCTGTATAGGGATAGTTTCGGAGGGGAACTTATGCCCTCCTCGTCGTCAACATGTTCTTAATGTTTTTCAGGTGATTCATTTGCTGGCTAATTAATATTAAGAAATGAAAGACAGACGGTGTGAGGGAGAAATAAATTCACCTTCAATCGATTTCCGTTGCATTCCTTAATCTCTGTAACAAAAAAATACAAACTACGACAAAAGTCATGGGCCAGTGAGAAAAATAATTTTCTTCTCGGCGCACAGTGACTTTTCACCATTCGTCCGTGAATTAAAAATTTGTCTCTCCATTCCTAATTGAAATTAAGGGATGAAAAAAGGCTGTTTGACGGAGAACTAAATTACCCATCAATTAACCCTCTTTCATCTCTTAATCTCTGTAAAAAATGGAAGAAACTGTCATGAAAATCACAGCGCAGTAATAAAAATAATTGTTTTGCGGCGCACAGTGACTCCCAGTAATTAAAAATTCACCTCTCCCCTCCTAATTGAGATTAAGGAATGAAAAAAAGACAGTTCGACGGAGAATTAAATTCACCATCAATTAATTATGAGAGATAGAGCCTTAAAATCAATTCCATTCGATTCCTGAGAAAATTTCGGTTCCCTATAGGCAGATGGACGGCTCAGAATTGCGTTTTTCCACTTCCTATACCCTATACAAGATGAATTAAATTAATTTTTTTTTGCGGTTTCGTTTTTCGCGATTATCTCGGAAACTATGAGAGATAGAGCCTTAAAACCAAATTTGGGTTCCCTATACGCGTCTAACCAGACGGCTCAGAATTGCGTTTTTCCACTTCCTATACCCTATACAAGATGAATTAAATTAATTTTTTTTTGCGGTTTCGTTTTTCGCGATTATCTCGGAAACTATGAGAGATAGAGCCTTAAAATCAATTCCATTCGATTCCTGAGAAAATTTCGGTTCCCTATAGGCAGATGGACGGCTCAGAATTGCATTTTTCCACTTCCTATACCCTATACAAAATAAATTGAATTAATTTTTTTTGGCACTTTCGTTTTTCGCGATTATCTCGGAAACTATGAGAGATAGAGCCTTAAAACCAAATTTGGGTTCCCTATAGGAAGATGGACGGCTCAGAATTGCGTTTTTCCACGTCCTACACCCTATACAAGATGAATTAAATTAATTTTTTTTCGGACTTTGGTTTTTCGCGATTATCTCGGAAACTATGAGAGATAGAGCTTTAAAACCTATTCCATTCGATTCCTGAGGAAATTTGGGTTCCCCGTAGGCAGATGGACGGCTCAGAATTGGGTTTTTCCACTCCCTACACCTTATACAAGATGAAGTGTCGGATCTTGGATTTTTCCGAGGGGAAAGTCAGTCCAAAGGTCACAAGGGTCAAAGTGTCAGATCTTGGATTTTTTTGCCAAAATCGAATTTTTTAGCCGGGTGAACGTTGATTCCAACTATTTAAGCGACGGGCTATTCAGAACTCTCAAAAGTATGCGGAAAAAGTGTAAACTGAAAAAGTTTTTTTTGGAATTTTCAAAGGGTCAGATTTTTCGTTTTTCTCGGGAGAAAGTCGACTTTNGAGGACGAAAGTGTCAGATCTTGGATTTTTCCAGGGGGAAAGTCAACTTTCGCCAAAATTGAATTTTTTAGCCGAGTGAACGTTGATTCTGACTATTTGAGCGACGGGCTATTCAGAACTCTCAAAAGTATGCGGAAAAAGTGTAAACTGAAAAAGTTTTTTTTGGAATTTTCAAAGGGTCAGATTTTTCGTTTTTCTCGGGAGAAAGTCGACTTTCGCCAAAATCGAATTTTTTAGCCGGGTGAACGTTGATTCCAACTATTTAAGCGACGGGCTATTCAGAACTCTCAAAAGTCTGTGGAAAAAGTGACAACTAACAAAAAAAATTTTCACCGGGGTCACAGGGTCAAATTTTCGGTTTTTACTTGGAACAATGGTCAGATTTGTTAACACTTTACATTTTTTATTTGGATAATGCATGCAAGCGTAGGGACAAGAGTGGCTAGAATAGATACTACAACCTTCTCCCCTTGTTGGGTAAAAATGTCAAGCCTCCCCATAAATGCATCTCCCCTCCACCCTCTCGGGAAATGTTGATTTTCGAGATTAAAAAAAAAACAATAATTGCATTTTTTATTTCAATAACGCATGAGTAAA